TAAGACAATGCTTTACACTTAACACAAAAACGCACATTTTTACATATACACACAGTCATACTCCTAGATAAGTTTACCTTTAAGTTGTATAAGAATGAAAAGTATACGTATAACAAAAATGTTCTCAAGTCACGGTTTGGTAAGAGTTATTTAATTATTTGAGTTACACCCGCACACGTTCATTTTTCTCAGCGAAAAAACGATTTAAACATTAATATTTCCCTTTAAACAGTACTCACAGAATTCTGCGATCAAATGAGAAATTGTCATCTATTAAGCAATATCTAAACGTCAACAAGTATCGTATATTCGTTGTTTATTTTAAGACGAATTTTATATTTTGTAAACTTCCCAAACTTAAACGACAATATAGCAAATAACTTAGCTTGTAAGTCAATGCAGAAACTCTTAATTACTATTGGATAACTAAAATAATATTATAAATAAAAAAGTACATTTATGAATTATATTTTTAACTATCCGTTTTGGAAATAAATTCAATGAAATACAGTAATATTATTCAGTGATTTCGTTTCATTATTTTACTACAAACGAATCGTATATTAAACCGTTAGGAAAAAATATATTCAACAATCGTTTAGGGTTGGATTCAATTATGCCCGTATGTTATTATATTTCCTTCGGTTGCCCCACCATGTGATTGTAGTTTTTTCATGAGAACATTACCGACGCTATAGTTATGTGTACTAGCGATTTCCTCAGTTGTCCGTAACTTAAAAGCCGACAATACATATTGATATTATATCTACAGTTTTCTTGCGACCGCAGCATTATGCGTATTTATTCGTACGAACAAATCTTATGTCTGCGATGGTTCCAACTCGTTTCTCTTTCTCTCTCTATGTCAAGTATAGTACTGTTGAATTTTATTTCATTTAAATGGTCACATGACTTCATATAATATCAGATATGAAGAATACCATGTACTATGAAGCGTGTTCAATAGGTACCTATTAAATTATTCTTAGGGAAAAACTTAATTATACGATACTGGTAATATAATGATACCCATTAATACACTAGCGATAATTTCGAGTACACTAATTTAGGTAAAATAGTTAATGTGAATCATCTCAAACCAGTCGTGATCCGTATTGTTAAAACTATTATACTATTATTATTGTCATTTGTCGTGCAAGAAAACACCGTCGGCCGACTAGAACAACACCGATAACGTATCATTATTATCATTATTCATTATAATTTAACCTTTTTTAATTTTTCCATAGTAAATGTGAAAAAATAAAAAAGGTATCACAACCTTTTCGTGCCGTAGCAGTATTTACCATCACCGAGTGCGTTTTATAGTTTTCCCTGCCATCGTTAAAAAGTAAAAACAATTGTTTTAACAATTTCACTAGTAATTATTTTACGTGCTTAATTTAATAATTAATATTGAACACCCATTTCATACTATGTGTATCGCGTAATATGAAACTCATCACGTACGACTAAAATATTACACGTGCGTTTTATTCGCGCAAAACGATATGAAAACAATATTTGAATTTTCGCTGTTGTCGGCATGTTCTTGAAACGTATTTTTCAACTATGAAATACGGTATTAACCACGAGTATACATGACGTTAAGTCTATATGAACGGATCTTGAATATATTTAGTTTATTATAATGAGTGTTTGTTCCTATCGTCTGGTATCGCATGATACGGATAATAATAATTGTGTACACCGTTTCTTTTGTTTTTCAACAACTGTATTACGATAGGCATCGTCGTTCTTCTCCTGTTACAGACATAATACTTTGAACATATATATACAAGATTGTCTCATCAAATAAATTAATAAAAATCAACATATTATATCCTGGTTGAAAAATTAAGTCTTATATATACTACGAATATTGTTAAAATTTGGCTAAAGTCGATATTATCCATTATCCATGTATGTTGGCTAATGTATAAATTTTGAACCATCAAAATATCATTAAAAAAAAAAATAAATAGAGTAAGACACAATTACAAATTAGTTAGTGATTACAAATTATTTTTAATTTAATAAACATATCAAACCTAATGACAAGATTTCTTGCCATTCATTAATTATGTTAAGATATTTTTCACTTGATAAATAAAATGGATTATCTTCTCGTTTTTCAGAGAACTATTTTTTAACTAAAAGATAAAATTCAGATTTTGTTTCCATTTTAATTAAATAAAAAATTCAAATTTTAAAACATTCTTCACAAGTATCATATGCGAAAACAAATTAATTACAGATCAGTACATAATTATTTATACCAATTATGTCTTATAATTTTATTTGTGTATAAAACAAATTAAATTTGGACAACTCATGCAGATTTCTGTTTAATTAAGAATCAATAAAATGTGAACAAATATTAAATGTTCTTATTTGTTTTTTCTTCGTATGGGCGGTTCAAAAACGTCTGTAGGGTTTAAATGAAAAACATTCCATATAATATTTTTAAATTAAATAATAATAAAAATGTGTTTCTTTTAGTTATAAAAATGAAGTTGAGTCAGATATTCATATTTGAAGTTTAATACCCGCCGGTCAATAAGATTAATTTAATTTTAGTTTTGTTGTTATGTATTAAATTTCTGATTTCTTTTTTTCCGGATCCTGATTTTAATGCGACCAGAAATCATTTATTCTATACAGTGAAAATTTAGTATTTTATACATGCTTTGAATGGAAACGCTTATTGGTTTTTTTTCAGTAGAATTATAGTTTCGAAGTTTTGGGTTTTTTCGCTCGTTTATCGTGAGCACAATAAAAAAAAAAAAAAGAAATATTCTTACACCGGTGCGTTAAATACCAAACTCAACAATTATGTCCGTGTTGCGGTTATAATTAAATGTAAATGGCAAAAATTAAAATACGATCAATTAATAAAACAGCATAAAACTTTTCTAACATTATGTCATAGACATTCCCGGAACAAGTCACTGCGAAACGGGATGTTACATGTACACTTTTACGTTTCAATGTGTTTTCGTTTCTGTTGCGTCAATTACACGTTAAGCAAAATTCAAAACGTATCGTATCAAAACATATTGTATAATGTATCGGACTACGCGTAACTGCGGTTACCGAACGCGATAGTATGTATATCATTTCGAAGTTGCTGTTGTAAAATGAAAAATTTATTTCAGTCGGAGAGCGTTTTCGATTGCTGTTTTTCGTCTTTATGCAAATGCAACGAAACGTCGAAACTGCATAATATACCATCAAACTCCCTACGTACAACGCGGAAAACTATAAAAAACAGAGGCTCCGCGTTTTTTCGTTCGAAATGTATGCGCATACGAACAAGAAAACAATGTAGTACGACACGGAATGACCGACTCAGCATCGGAACGGTATCCCGGCTATCTATACCAGTATATCTATACCAGTGATGTCCTATTTTTTTTCCTCGGTGGGCCACTTTCTTAAACAATTATCTTAAAGTTGACCACCAAGTATAAAAGTTCGAATAATATCAATATTAATCCAATAATGTTATTTTGTTACACATAGTAGGTATACAATGTACAAGTAGGTACATATTGAATTTATTTTCAAATATTTTATTGACAACTGAAAAGATTATAGATCAAGGTGCACGCTGTGGGTATACATTAATTTGATCAGTACGCTCTTTCAAGTATATCGTGAAATTTATTTGAAAATGCCCGAAAATCAAATTATTACATTTTAGAAAAATATTTATTATATGATTAATTTTTAAATTTTTTTTATATTTTGTTTCATTTAAAAAAAAAAAAAAAAAAAATTGTAACGGGCCTCATTGATTACCTTCGTGGGTTACATGTGGTACCACTGGTCTAAACGGTACGTTTCGATAAATTCATTCGCCGAAAGTTCGCAGTCGGTAAAAATAAACAAATACTAAAATCACGTTGGCGATACGAGTGCGTACAATACGGAACTCTACCCGGGGTCATCGTTTAGTGATCGATACGATATCGAGAAAGGCATAGAGAATCTATGGACCCTGTGCACGTAAATGGACCGTGATGACGCGTTCGAACTATTAACGCGATGGGCACGAACAACGGACCTTCGCAGGTGATCCGCAGGCCAATTGCTAAGGAGTGATAACTTCGGTCCCGTGAAAACGTCGAATCTACCCGCCGTGGTCTCAAATTCACGCCACGTGTGTGAGTGTACGGTGTAGGCTGTGTGTGTTCGGAGAGAAAAAAAATAAATTTCGTCCCAAGGGAATTAAGGCTAACGTTTTCCGCTGCCGCTGTGACCAATGTTGAATAGATTTTGTCAGTGTCGAACTGCACAATACGTTAGGTACCACGATTTCGATTTTTCCCGGGGAAGGTCTTTAAAAACTTACCTCACAAAGGTTTGTGCGTGAGAGGGGGGGGGATCACCGCCACGTGAAAACGTTTTTCAACTCGTTCTGTGACAAAGTCTTATCTGATGCGGACGACAGAGATCGTTTTGAAAATTGAATGTTCGAATGTTCATACGCTTGTGTGTTGTACCCGGATTTTAATATATTTCAAGTGCTTACACGTGGCTTTTGCGGTACCTGTTCATTATTAACGCGCATCGTATGTACATAATGGTTTTTTTTTTATTTTTTTTTTTTTTTTTTTATTCGAAGAATGCCAATCGATCGTATTACAAAACGTAATTGTTAAAGAAAGAGAGTGAAAAAGAAAGGAAAAAAAGAAAAACCTAAGAAGAAATGAAAACAGAAAGCGTGATGGGTTGTTGGCGTCTATTTCGTATTAGTGTAACTGGTATGACGGGGCTTCAAGTTGTCTAAAACAAGCAGTGCATAATACCATTGCACAGTGGTCCATAAAAAAAAAAAGTTGGAAAAAAATATTTTCATGGTGATTTTTATTATATTTTGATTTAAGCAAATAATAAAAAGTATTTAATATTTTATTTCATTGTTATTTACAGTAAATTAATTACGAATTAGTTTTTTATATATTAATCTACATTTTAATATACAAATGTTCACAATATGCTAGTTGTTTTCAATTTAATTATTCGTACTCCATAAATTCGTCTTCACTATTTTCCTCATTAATGTAAAAATCCTCTTTATTTTCTCCTACAATACATACAAGCAGTTTTGCTTCATCGCATAATGTGGTTGATTTTTTATTGCTAATTTTTCTTCTACTCGAAATAAGTGGATCTGATGAAATGAGCAAGTTATTAAATAAATCTTCCATTGTATGTTTTCTGGATATTTTTCTTGTGTTATTTTCCCTAAACCTCTTCATATCCTTATTCCTAGCTTCCTGTGCTTCTTCTGATAATAAACCGATTGGCAATATGGCATTTTCAACAATTTGTGTTCCGTGAATCAAAATTTTGTGAACGGATGCTGGTAGATAAAACCATGGATATTTACTAATGAATAATTGAGCTGTTTCAAATGCATAATTATTGAATTCAACTCCTAAAATAATATAAAGAAAACTAATATTTTTTAAATGGTTATGCATTCATTACCTATTTATTAATTATTTTATTAAGCTAGTAGAATACCTAAGATACTATTTTAAATGACATTATTTTGTTTTATATTACCTTTAATTTTTTCACCTGATGATATAACTTCAAGTATAACTTTGAATCGTACTATGATATTTTTATCAACACCGGTTATAGAAGATGATACGTCTGGATTAGAAAAAAATCGTCTGGCCGTGTTACCATCATTAGTCGTGCCACTTCCTCCAGGACGAGGTTGATCAATCAACAGACCCAATTCTTGTCTAAACTTAGTTTGTATTTCCTTTTTCTTTTTCTTTAACATTTCTTGGTCATCTCCCCGTGCTTGCCATTTTTTAAAACCTAATCGATACGCAACATGAATGAGGCATTCAAAAAACCTTATCCAAGCATGCAAGGATGATAAACTAAATGACAGTGTTGATGGATCAATTGGACGTTGTTTTATCGTATTTAAATTGTTCATATCTTTTGGCCCTGCACCACATATATAACATTTTTGTGCCGACTTATTATCTGATATAGCATTACATACTTTTCCATCGATCATAGTTAACACAAGCTCATGTTTTACTGATACAAAATCGTCATTTCCCAAATTAACTATTGAAGATACCAAGTTTTGAATTTGATTCGATATATTTGATACTTCGTTTTGTATCAATTCGGTCGTTTCTTTTTGAAATTGTATATGAATTGGTCGGCAGTATTTGGTTGAAGATGTTCTTGGATTTTTCCAAATAAATTCTTTTAATACCTCTTTTGATTCACCTGAATACATAATAATTTGAATTGGAACGAAAGACGTCAAAAAAATATTGCTATCACTCGCACTCTGGACATCATTAAATTTTTGTTTATATTGGGCCAGCCCTGATGACCCGTCCAATCCCCACTTACTAAGCAAAACAACTGTATTATTTTTAAATTCGTATGCTGATAAATTTTCAATAGACTGAAATATTCGTTGTACAGTATGGTTCAATAACGATTGCAGAGTTGCTTCCGCAGATATTTCTGTAATTAATACTTGGTCTTTTTTGGGATAACATTGGGACTTCGCTTCGAGTATTTTATTGTATGCAGGATATATATTTGCATTTCTCTGTTTTGCCTGTAATCGTATTAATGTGTACTGTGATTTGGTGAGTTTAGCATCTATAATTAATGCCAATGCATCTTCTTCAGAACACATTTGAACTGGTTTAACATTTTGAAATGCAGTATACGCCCTTTGAATGTTCAAAGCACGAGTAGGAGTAGTAGACGTCGCTTCTTTTAATAATTTAGCAGCATCGACATTTCCGGTTTCTTTTAAACTTAACTGTGCCGCATAAACAAGTTCTTCTGTTGAGTTCGACGTACGCAATGTCTGGGTTTTATGCCTTTTTGTCTTGTCACACGCTTTAGAAAAAAGCACCTTTGGTCGTCCTACGTGGGACATTGGTAAACTTTTTGAAACTTCAGAAAAAATAAATTTTTTGTTTAGCCACGTTTCAAAAATTGTGTCAAACCGATTTTTCGTTCTATTGCATTTCTGCCATCGTTTATCAAATTCGTTCATAAAAATATGCAATTTTTTTTTCAAATCACTTTGATAATTTTCAGATTGCTCTTTCACATAATCCACTTTACATAGAACAAAATCATAGAGGGCCTCAACTTTATAATTTTTGTTAGATTTTAAATCTAATATTTTGAAGTATAAATCTCGGTGTGTTAATTTTGACTCCATTTCATTCAACAAATTCTAAACAAAAATTATTTATAAAAAATTGGGCAAATACGGGCAGCTGGAAATTATGAAATCTTATTTAGGACAAATTATAGAATTATACTTAACCTACGCTCTCACACTACTTCACGCTACTTTTTTTAAAAACTACGACTATTTTAGATTTTTATGTACAATAAAAACGTATTTTAAATATAATTTAACTAATTAAAATAATATGTTCTAGGTAAATAAAAATATAAATTTTAGTAAATTTATTTTCCTTACCTTATAAGCTTTCCACTGGTACCAAATATGTCGATTAAATATTAAATATCTTCGAACAAATGTCGGGAAGAAATGAGTACTTAGAGTTTTGTGAGTGTACGAAAAATACTATATCTTGTTATCGCAAACATTAAGCGATGTATTATCTTCACTAAAAGTGGTTCTATTAAACTAATAGCTATTAGATTAAATGTTCATTCTCATATAGAATACAAATCAACTTTTAAAAATAGTTAATTCCAATAATCATTTTCAACATTTTTTCCTTTTTTTTTAATTTTTTGACCACTGTGCATTGTTGCTGTATAAATAAAAAATCAGGCTCTTTGTTTTCGATTTTGATATTAGAAACCAGGGACTAGAATCATACCTAAAAGAACCGGTTTTAGAACCGGAACTTTTTAAATATTGGGAACCGGAACTTCACCAAAACCCTAATTTAAATTAATTTTAAAACCGGAACCCCACCGAAACTTTTATTTATATTTATTTAAAAATCGGAACCTCACCGGAATCGATCATTTTTTGTAAAGGTTTTTTACGGTTAATTTCAGTATTGTTTTAATTGCATTATTTTTATTTATATCTCTCATTAATTGGTAATAAGAACTAAACAAAAACATAGATCTATTATTATTACTATCGGGATTAATAATATTCAAAAATAATCATGCAAGTATTTACAAATTTTAGACGTGTCATTGAACTATAAAAGTATACAATAGTTTTATGAAACAATTGATAATAATGTAATACTGTAATAAAAATTGCAACAAAATTAGTTATTATTTACTGCATAGTAATATCTATGGGTTTTCTAGTTCCCAAAATAACGAGAAATTCAAAAATTATGTCTATAAATAACTTTTTCGTAAGCATGTTGTGATTGTAATTATCGTTATCTGATTATCGTTACAGCACGCGCCTGAGCAGTGAACACTAAACACGTTTTATTGTTATTCATTATGATGTATAATTTATGATTAGGTAGGTATCATCAAATATTTACAGGTATTTTTATAAGTACCAATATTAAAATAATTTATTAACGTAATACATAAATCCTTACTTTTCAAAAGTTTTCTTATTTCAAATATTATTATTTTTAATATAGGTATTTATTTTATGGATAAATCATCAATAAATATTAAAATATTTTTAACTGTTAGCATTATTATTAATTATTCTAAAATGTTTTAATAAACACATAGTATTATAAGGTAAAGCACATATTTATAATTATTGTATATCTATGAGATAAAGTGATCAGATTAAAATCCTATGAAAGTGGAACAGACCCTCCAATGTACTATCTACTGAAACCACCGACCGCAAATTTCTAACTTAAAAAATATATAGTAGTGTATATTTAAAAATTTAAATACTACATAATTATGAATAACAAGTGGTAATTCACAAATCAATGTTTAAACTATAAAAAAAACATGAAACGATATTTGAAACAGGGTAGTCGTGACGGTGATGAGTACACTTTTACTTAATTAGTCCTAAATTCACTTAAGTGATGGTAGGATATCTGATTGAAAATTGGTATTAACCGCCATAATTGACGCTAATTAACACCAGTTATATTTATAAAAGAATCGAAACAGAACCAAATTTTTCTCACATTAGTACGATACCAAACATGAAACTAATTTTCTATTTTTTAATAACTGAAAATAAACTGAAACCCAAATTTTAGCTATTTTGAAAACCGAAACAGATTTTTTTTTCTAGGAACCGAACTGGAACTGGAATCGTACAATTCATCAAGATTTTGTTCCCTGTCATAACATATATACATCGAAGTATAATATCTGAACGAACCGTTTATTTGGATATATTTCACTTTCAAAAAACATTTTCAACTTTTACTCCGATCCTTATCATTTATTTTTATAACACAACACCTTCAAATTTACAACTTTTTAATACGTTTCCCGTCTTATTTATAATAAAATTTTTGATGTCTACACGATGTTATGCACGCGTGGAATTAACTACGTTCAGCCACGTATTGTAACGACCACGAATTTCGATGTGATACAACACTGTTTTCTAAATGACGATTACAATTTCTAAAACATAATACAACGTTTGCGTTATCACCGAAAAATAAATATATACAGTAAATCCTCGATAAGACGGAACTTCGGTAAGACGGAAACCTCGGTATAACGGAACATTTTTTTAGCCCCGTTTCAAATTACATACAATTAACTAACCCCGTCAAGACGGAAACCCCGTTAACACGGAAAAATATCATGGTCCCAAGCGATTTCGTCTTATCGAGGTTTTACTTTATATACATATTGTAATATAAATTAATCCTTTAACGTGCGTCATGGTTCATCATAATCGTTACCGGTGCGTCGGGTGGACGTGTACCAGTGGGAGGGTGAGTTTGACGAACGGGCGATGATGATGATGATGACGTTTTTCCTCTTGTCAAAGCGAACGACGTATTTTTACACCGCTCGTTCTTGTCCGAAACCGTTTTTCGACGAAAGCGTTATGTTCGCGGACAGAACTTCGAATCTCGGTAATGTACGCGCAAATGCAGCAGCGTGCGCTGTTCCCGTTGCCAATGTATGGCGAAGCGAATAATTCAAATTACATAATCCCGCGGCCTAAGTTGTTTGCACATACTTATTTCAAAGGACATTAATGCGCGTTATCAGGATTATTGCGTCTGAATATATAATGGACTTATGTAGTGAATATAATACGAGATCATGTCCATGCTCTTCTTCCGTTCCGATCCACCACCACCATTATTATTATTACCATGTTTGGACGTTGATTATCACTTAATTCTGCGGACGTGTACGTTTACCACACCGGATGTTTCCACCTGTAGATCGCCCTGGGATGTATACTAATGTGCAACCCCATCATTTCATTATAATTATTGTAAAGATAATGTTAGTATAATGAGGATAATAATAATAACAACAACAACAATAATAATAATAATAATAATAATAATAATAATTTCTATCTCCAATCGATTCTGTTCTTGATTGCTTATAATACATATACATATTTATATATATATATATTATCACAGTGTTTAGAATTCACTATACCGATGCGCACGAATCGGCGATATTAAACGAAAGCTTTATTACGATTAAACAAGTATCGCGAACGTATGAGGTCCTGCCAAAAACCACACAACTGATCTTCTGGCCGGCCAATAATTGAAATATGTATAGGTTTTTTTTTCTCTATAAAAATAATTTTATCTGCATTATATTTTATAATCTACACTAATGTGTACGGTAGTTACATTTATATTATGTAAGATACGATAAATGGTATATCTTCAATAGATGTGTAAGTAATTCGCAATAGCAATGACTGAACACGGGAAATAAAACATCAAGTAAAAATCAATTGAAAATATTTCGAGAAAATGTCTTGGCTGTATTTACGGTTAAATCGTCTGACTAGATAACCCTGGATAGTTTAGATAGTTTATTGAAACGATGCTGATCGATGTGGCTATATACTATTAGAACTGCATTGTACAATAGCATGTTATGTTTTTATTTATACAAAATATTTAGTTAGATTGTACTGTGAACTACTATGTTTACCTTTGTTTTGTTTTAATCACTACTATTATTGTAACATTTCAATATATATTCTGTTATTGTGTATCTTTTAATAACCGATTGGCGTTAAATAAATAAAAAAGAACCCTGAACTCAGTTAAGTAGTGAACAGAGTCAAAAGTACTTTGATGCTGATTACCTTATGGCAGAGATTCTTAGACCGTGCAGTAAGATGTTCAATACGCATCGAGGACCATTGGTAATTACCATGAAATGAGGACAAGCTTGCACTTTAATTTTCATTGGCTTTCACGTTTCGACAGACTTACCGCGGACGGGTTGTAGGAATACGTCCATGTACACGGTTGCAATAATATTTTTACCGCATTATCTTATTTCCATAATATTGTTACTATCGTCGTCACACGCGATTTCTGTATTGGTAATCGGAAGTTAAAACACATGATAGGAGGGAGGATTTTTTCTGTAGTTATAAATCGTTTGTTTTCCTTCGGTGCACTCGCCGCTTCATATTTGATGAAATTGGTCTAGAAAATATTTCGCATAGAGGTACGTTATGCAATAGCTGACTGCTATACCACGGTACGGGTGCGTGTATACCACCACACGGGTATAATATAATGTTTCGAGTCTGCATTCATGCTACATAAATACGCGAAAGCTCGTTTGAATATGACCGACCGTAATATTATTCCATAAATAATTCTGAGTGAACCTTTCAGACAATCGGACCGTATGGCGCGTCATGTATGTATAATGTACACGAACCCCTACGCGTTCATATATATATATATATATATATATAGGTATCTGCTGCGTTTCTAAGCCACGGGCGATTTTAATCTATAATATACCTACCGTTATTTATTCACACGTCGTAATAATACAATCCTACACTCCGTTTATTATTCGTCATGTTAAATATTCAATTAGTAACAACGCAATGATAACAATACGCTCTTGTATTTCGATCATAATAGATAATAATAGATTCAAAATTAACGTTATAGATACTTCAAACTCGAAATCAATCGTAACCGATAGCCGATTTATCGATTCTTTTCCGTATCGTATGTCTTTATTCATATTGTATCGACTAGTAAATGGCAAAAGGACTTAAATCTACACATTTCTAAGCTAAACGACATGGTATAGTACGTTACGGGACGACCGACAGTTAAAGCATTCGACCTCACAAGCGCTATTCTTTCTGTAGTGAGTCGGTCTGATCAAAGACTGACTCAAAACGTTTTTACAACGAAGTCACCTTTTGTTGCAGTAATTACACGTTCGTTGGTAGAAGTTTGAAATAAAATAAAGAGAACACTTTTTAAGTTATAAATGTGATTTTATTTTATTACTGAAACACAACGTAATGGTAGCTCGATAAGTTAACGTAAGTTTAACAGTATCGGTCTACTCATAAGTCTGGTTACATTGTATCTGAATAAGTATTGGCACTACGTCCCTATTTATACACAGATAGTTAGACGTAATGCGTTATAGTAGTTTAGAATAAGGAAAAGACTCAAGGCTTTTCGTTGTTTTTTAAAAACAAAAATAATATTAATCTTTCAAAAACTTATACTAAAAACAATTATCCCGTTTAAATGGCTAGCTAATAACAAAAATAATATAAATATTCTTAAAATCTAAAATACCCGTTTACCTTATTAGCTAAAAACCCGTCA